TTTAATATCGATTTGTGCTTTTACACGTTAATTTTTACTTTAACTGGTTGAAACCAGTAGTAAATAAATCCACTAGATTTTCATTTCAATAAAAATAATTATTATTTCAGCTTTTGTTAGTTTAGCAAACTAGTCTGGTAAAAAAAAAAAAAAATACTGCTGTGTAATTAAGTATAATGATCCACACTTATAATTGCCCCGCAAAAGGAAATACCTAGAGACAGGAGAAAACGGGAAAGAAAACAAAGTAGAAACTAAAAATAGAAGACTTGGTTTCGCCCATTAAGGATTTCGAGACTTTATCAATCGTCATATTTAAATAAAATGTCTTTTAAAATGTTTGAAAATGCTATGCACGGCTAATGTCCTCTGTTAGTTTATTAAATTTTATAAATAGTTAGACTGTAACCAAATGTAAATTCCTTTTTAGCGTGACAATATATTTTTCTTAAAGAATAAGTTTCAAAATTTCAAATTAATTTTATTTTTATTCAAGCCGTTTGTTTTGGTTGTTTTAATGCCGCCATCGAATAGACACACACAAGTCACCTTAAGAAATAATATAATAATACTATTTTGTATTTTTTAAAACAAACTAAACTGGAAACTGTTCTCTTTACTACGATCTGTTCAAGGACTATCTATTTCCAACACGAAACAAAAAAGCAATATACACAGTTAAAAAGGTAACAGAAACGAAATTCTAAACTACAAACAAAATATCTGGAATAATAACAACTTTAAATTACAAAATCAATAATATCCTAAAATCGATAAAAGAGAATGAAAATAAATTTAAAAATAATAATTATTATTTATTCTTTTCTTTTACTGAAAAACACGATAAAAGATGGAGGATTCCCCGGCGAAGTAGTAGGTCACATTGACAAATAAAAACAAATATTCTACAAAAAAAAAACAAAAAAACATGAATTTGGAACAAAACAATTTAGGACTTAGTCTGTAAAACAAACGTTATTAATCAAAAGAAAGAAAAACAATTATTTTACTTTAAATAAAAAGAGTATGTTTTTAATTCCTTCACTTAAAACTTACCGTGATAACGAAGTCATGATGGGTGTAGCCAAGGACGATAATCTAATTTACATGACAGCATTGATTAACTCCCCTAGATTATAAATTTTTCCCTCAAACCTCAAAAATGTAAATGTTTTAACTTCAAAATTTTATTTCAAAAAGGATAATTTTAGTTGGGAAAAAGTTAAAAAACAAATGAATTTACAGAAGTAACTTCGGATATAAATCATGGGTAATTTATTATATTTAAATTTCTGTACTAACTGCTTAATCAGATGCCTACAGAAAAATTGAAATTCATTACTAATTCATTTATTATATATATATATATATATATATATATATATATATATATATATATATATATATCAGGTCATCCCATAAGTTCTGTCCGAATTTTGAATAAAAAAAAGTGACCAAATGTTACATTTAATTACAGATTCAATCAACAATGTATTTTCCCTGATTATCTATGACTTCCTTCCATCTATTAACAAGCTTACTAATTCCATTATTGTAAAATTCTTTTGGCTTTGATTCGAAGAACTCTCAAATGTCAGTTTTAACCTCTTCCTGTGTTACAAAAGCTGTTTCTTCCAAATGATTCTGTAAGCTACAAAACAAATGGTAATCTGAAGGAGCAAGATTGGGAGAATAAGGTGGATGAGGAATTTTCTCCCAACCAAATTCTTCGATCTTTTGTGATGTGATTCTTGCTGTGTGGGGTCGTGCATTGTCCTGATGAAACATCACCTCTTTTCAACTTACTAGAGCAGGTGTTTTTTTCCTCAAAGCTTGGTTCAAACACTCTAATTGCTGATAGTATATTTGAACATTAATTGTTGCATTAGGTGGTAAGAATTCAAAGTGGATTATTCCTTGGTGATCCCACCAGATTGAAAGAAGAATCTTTTGGCCATGAAGTTCCCTTCTCGGCTGTGGCTGGGGTCCTTCCCCTTTACCAAGCCACTGTCTACAATGCTTAACATTTCGATAAAAGATCCATTTTTCGTCACCAGTCACAAGTCTATCCAAAAAAGGTGAAACAAGTTGGCAAGAATGGAGAGAAGAGCAGATGTCCTCGGGATTTGAGGTTGTTTTCAGACAATTCATGAGGCACCCATTTTTCAAGTTTAGGAACTTTTCCAAGTTGTTGAAGATGACGTTGAACAGTTGTATGGTTTGAACTGAGAATCACTGCCAATTCCTCAACTGATAAAGCAGGATTTTCTTCAAGGGCTGCTTCAAGAAGCTTTTCATCAAACTCAACTGGACGTCGGTTCGATCTTCATCTTCAAGGGTGAAATCTCCATCTCTGAATTTTGCAAACCATCTTCTGCAAGTTCTTTCATTCACACATTCCTCTCCATAAACTGAGTGAATGTTTCTAGCCGCTTCAGCTGCTGAGTTTCCTTTCTTGAACTCATAAAGCATTATGTGCCTCAGATGATTCTTGGGTACTTCCATGTTAGCAGGGTTTTAATCAAACAAAATTTAAATTTATTGTTCTCTGAAATAAAATTTGATCAGTTTAAATGCATCTAAACATAAAAATAATGTTCAGCTCCATTAGACATTATAAAATACTCTTTAAATTTCGTTCATTTTAATAAAAAGTTAAAATTTGGACAGAACTTATGGGATGATCTGATACATATATATCTTCAAACATGTTGGGTTACATAATTTAGACGTATTATGTCTATTTATTTTAGTTTTAATCTTATTATTAATAGGCACTAATAATGATACATTTAGTACCTTTTCATATAAAAAAAACCAACTAGCATAAACATGTGCACTCTCAATTATAAAAGTGAATGTCCTAACTATTACAAAATAACTATTATACAAAACTTAATAAACCCTACAAAAACAAACACTTCAACAAGAATGATTTTCTATACTGAATTAAAAAATATTAAACAAGCCCTCATTAATAATGACTTTCCTAATTACATCTTTCATGAACAATTTAGACAAGCTTTTGGGAATATTAACATAAATAAAAATGAACATAATACATCCTCAATCTGACCTAAACATATCAAACTATTATACCATAATCAAATGCATTCTAACTATAAGCAGGAAGAAAACAATTCTAAAAAGACTCATAAACACTAATATATTCCCCACTGATCCAAGTAAAGAAATAAAATTAATTATATACTATACTAAATTTAATACAACCAACCTAGTCATCCATAACAACTCTTCTCCATCAACTAGTGTCCTACAAAAGATCAACATTGTATATCAATTTAAATGTCCTTTGGTAGATTGCATCTCTAAAAATAAAATATGTTAATACAACAACTTATGTTTGGATTTACATATTCACATTCACAGTTTAGAAGATTGATGAAGACATGTTTCAAGATAACCAAAATTTTAAAATTTTGGAAGCCTTTTATGTTTGAGTTAATTGCAGCCAAAATAAATAAATCAACTAATGAGTATAGCAACAAAGTTCTTAAATGTTTAGTAGCAAAGTGATATATCTCATACTACAATTAAAAAAAATTTAAAAAAAAAAGGAACACTCAGATATTCACTTGAGAAAATCGTTGTTACACATTGCGTTAAAACATTGTTTTATAATAAGTTTATACTGTTAAAGAAAAATGTTTTACAGATATTACTTGAAAATTTTACATGTCCGGGCACTAGAAAGTTAATCTTGATTATTATACAATTTTGCTCCCTCTCAAAGATAAAAATTAGAAATAAAAAAAAAACTGCTTGATTATTTATTAAAAGCCTTTTATGAAATGAAGGAATAAAAAATGGTGCAGAAAAAATAAATAATCTTCATTAAAAACTAATGACATGCATGATTAAGTTTTTAATAATAAAAAAAATGTTTGAAAGACAAGGATAAGAATATATATATATATATATATATATATATATATATATATATATATATATGTGTGTGTGTGTGTGTGTGTGTGTGTGTGTGTGTTTGATGCTCATGGGTAGTGTTATGGTGGCAAAAGGATATATGGTTTGCATACATTCAAATGTAGACAAAGCTAGATAGTTTGAAATACTTAGCTTTTCTTGGATTGTTGAGAGAAAATTCTTTAAAGTGCCATGTGCTGGTTTAGAAGCTGATAATATAATTTGCGTGTAATTTTACACTGGCAAGAATGTCAATGCAGATTGCGAAAAACTTAAATGAAACTTTTCATGAGTTCAGACACTCTTACTAATTTAATTTTTCTCCTCATTTTATATAAAAAAGAATTTTGAATAGGCTTGCTACATTTTTTCATTTTTCTTGGCTCACCTGCCAATTTCTGTGAAGGCAAGGTTTTCATTGGTCAAAAAAAAATTTCACATAGGTTCCCAAATTTCTTTTTTTCTTTTTCCTGGCTCACTGGTTAATTTCTGCAAAGGCAAAACTCTTACATAGGCTCACAAATTTCTTTCCCTCTTCTTCCTCATTCCTCTGAATTTGAAGGGAGTGGGTGAAGGGAGTTATTATTTAGCACTCACTACAGTATAACAGATAACAATGTGGAAAGTAAAATCAATGAACTGAGTTCAAATACCTGTTTAGTCTGTTTCATTAACTTTTGCATTCTTATGCTTAGGAAAGGTGTTAATCCATCTGTTTCTCCTTTTTTTCAGTGCATGGGTGATCATAGCTTTACATAATTTCCTACTTTTTATTACTCTAAATAATTCTTGTTAATCCTACCTTTGTCACTTCAAGTCTCTTCTTCATCTGTGATGAAATCATCTAGAGTTCATAACAATATAGGAGATGAGATATTACATAGCAGTCCAGCACTCTTTTCTTTAAGGGTATTTTCTAATCTCTTTCTTTATTTCTAAGGGTGTTTTTAATGCTTTTTTTATTTCTAAGGGTATTTTTAATGCCTTTCTTTATTTCTAAGGGTATTTTTTAATCCGTTAATACTTTTTTCAGTTGCCAAAAGGCACCAGCTTAAGGCCACATCATGTTGAAACACCAACTCTCATATGATCACCGAAGTTAAGCAATGTTGAGCTTGGTCAGTACCTAGATGGGTGACTGCTTGGAAATACCAGATGCTGTAAGCTTGGATGTGCAGGTGATGTAATGAATAATTGATTTGAATTGTTAATCGAAGAACCATGTTTCAATTCTAGTTGAGTTCATTATATTCACTTACATGCAAATGTACCAGTTCTAATTTATTTCTAAATGTTTATACAGTACAATATTGTAGTGAACAGTAAACATAAACAAAATAAAAAATCAACTCTATATTCTGCATATTGTCAATACATTACAAGTGAATTTTTATTTATTTTTCACTTTATTTAATATTTTTGTTTCATTCAGAAGAAAGTGAATGTTAACTTGATCATAGTTTTCAAACAACATACAACACTGACTGGTTGGATTAATTAATAAAGTAGTCTCAATTAGAATTCTCAGCAATTATTAAAGGAATCTTATACTTATAAGTATGATTTGGGGGGTGGCAGTACCAAAATCCAAGATGCTATGATGCATAGTACTGTGGTGGTGTTTATTAAAATTTTGAATGTATGTTGGCAAATGTGTACTAAAATACCAAAATTTCCCATGTTTTTAATTTTGTTGTTTGTCAATCAAAATAAAGGAAATAAATTTAATGTAAACTATCAAATAAAAAAAAGGCAAAGTTTTCCTTGTGGAAGGGTGTTGGTGAAACTGAGTAACAGACAAAAGTGACATCATAACAAGCACCATACTGTAGTAGACACAATCATATTAATGGGAGTGTTATGCATGAAATGAATATTTCCTATTTGTATTTCCTCCATTATGAGCATTGTTATATCGATGGTATAACACCTTAATACATGGATGGAACAGAATAGCTAAAAGAAAAGGAATAACAAACATGCTTTGTTCTCAAAGAGATTTTTATACTGCTAAGTCATACAGAAAATTATATACAAACATTTACACTGGTACTACACTGAAAAATTATAACACATGTATACAACAACAATCCGTGTTAAAACATCAAAGAGACATAGAGTTTTATTAGTAATAATTTTCAGTGGGAATTTTATTTGCCGGGGGATTTTTCTATGTATCTGGAGGAGCCATATTTATATTTTCCAACAGAAATTTGAGTGGGCTGGGTTTATTTTCTTTATCTCTGGTAAGGATATATTTCCCAATGGGAAATCAGACTATTATGAGTATTTCTCAACATGAAGACTGCGAGCCAGGAACTAATTTCTATATGTCTCTGGTGAGGACATATTTTTCCCAACAGGAAAATAACATTATGGACTTGAGTGGTACCCCATAGCAGCAAGCCCAGACAGGTAGATTTAGCATTGGCCTGTACTACAAATGCAAACTGCTTGTGTTGACTTCAGGTGGCTAACTAAATGACTGATCACTTTCGTCACTTTGAAGTGATATCATTCAGCAGCCATCATGTGACTCACATGACTTCATCTTAATCAAAGGGAGATAATCACGTTTTACATCCCTACAATATAATTTAAACAATTTCAAGAACTGTACTGACCACAAGCATATGCAGACCCAAGGGTCATGTGCCCCCCACAACCTATGATATGCCCCTCCCCACTTTACTACATCTCAATTTTCATAAGGTAGCATTCATATAAAATACAAATTTTATTGTAATCTAATTAAGCACAATAATGGATCACATACAATATAAATGAACAATTAATTTAGAAAATAACTAAGAGAATAAATACAAAATAACTAAATACAAATTGGAAACATGTTATAAAGATCATTCCATCTTAAATAAATCAACAATGTTTTGTGGCAGTTTTTAACATCAACTTGAGATTTTTTTTTTGTTGTTAAAAAGTTGTATAATTTTAACACTTCAACATTATGGATAAAAAATAGAAATTTTACATAGTGTTTTTTGAGACTTAGTGTAAGCAAAAAAATTCATGGATTTGGACAAAAAAAAAAAAGCACAGGATTTTGTTATTATTTTAAATACTTTCACTCCTTAGCAAAGTTTATGGTTTTTAAGAAGCAATGATTAGAATTGTAAACCTAAACATATGATGAAAGTGAATTTATACATTTTTTGTTCTTGGGAATTTCCAACAAAAATATTAAACACTATTTATTTATTAGATTCTTTATTTACAAGAATAATTTTATATTTACAACATCCTAAAACTAATAAAATTGTATTAAAACTAATGCAATGCAATATTTATCATTTACCAATTTATAAAAAAATAAATATAAAAACAATTTTTTACTCATAAATTTATAAAAATTTATTAAATATTATTATAAAATATGTGAACCAACTATAAGGAAATTCTTATTATTTACCATTTTATAAAGCTCAAATCAATTTGCAGTTAGCCAATGTCTTGCGAACAATTCCAATAAATATTATAAAAAGTAGCGTAAATAAACAATCTAATAAATAGTGTTTATTATATTTTTTCAATTCTCAAGAACAAAGAAAATGTATAAATTCACTTTCATGTTTAGGTTTTAGTAAAATTCTACTCATCACTACTTAAAACAATAATCATTGTCAAGGAATGAAGGTAGGGAAAATAATAGTGGTGTCAAGGGAAAAACAATCCTTTTGACACACTGTTTCTTTTCAGGCATGAAGTTAAAAATTGTTGAATCTTCTTCTGTATTCTTGCTAATTTTGATAATGTTGTTGTCTAAATAATTTCATTTTTCTCCTATCTTTTTGCAAAGGTTTTCAATCTGGATCATTCCATTTTTTTATTTTCAGGATCATTCCAAATAATCCAGTAATGATTACAGGTATCACTTTCACATTCCTCAATTATTTTAATTCCTTGACAAGATGCAGATATTTTCCCAGTTTTTTGTTATTTTTAATTCTCTCAGTTTCATTCTCTAATAGTAGTAGTAGTAGTAGTAATATCATCATCAACCAAATTTAGTCACAATAATGATGATGATCCTCGTCATCACCATTTCGACAACCACCTTCAAATGGCTGTGGTTTTATAGTTTGACTGTTAGATTTTGATTATTGAGTACCAAAAATGTATATGTAATATATAAAGCTTGAAGTGTGTGTGTGTGTGAAACCTTGAAAATATATAAAGTTAAATCTTTGTTCGTCTTTGTGTATTTGCAAATATTATGTAAAACTTTGTCATCAAATAAATGCTGTTTTAGATTTATCTCTATGCCCACTCAAATAGAATATAGCATAAAGCCAAGTGTAAAGTGGGATTTCCACATATACATGTGATCAGAAATCAGAAATAGTTAAGACCCCTTGGCATTTCTTTTTTGTGGATGCCTCGGGAACCAGGGATTATCCTTAGCTTTCTCTTGACGGAGAGATATTGCTTGTGGGAGATAGACACCAAGACTGAACTTAATAAGGCCCACATAAGAAATGCAATTTAAATAAGTGAGATTTTATCATTTACATCTCCGAGTATGTGTCTTTTAACTTGCCCAACTTCTTGCTTCTTGCTTAATGAATATTTAACTTTGAGATAACGATATATATTTTCATATATCAAGAATAATATTGGGAAAAATGTATGACAAAGTGGAAAAAGTTTACTTGTGGTGTGTTTCATCCTTCATTGAAGGACAAAATGAGTCACAAGTGAATCTTTTCAACTTTGTCATACATATTCAACTTTAAAAAAATAAATTTATTTCTAATCTGTTTTTTGTGATGTTTTTTACTGTAAAAGTGATGACCATCTTAGTAATTAGATCACAGCTTGGGAGTAAAGGTAAGTCAGAAATGTAGACATTTTTAATAGTCAGTCAGTTATGTGCTATACATGATACATTCTTAGGCAATCATGTATTTTTTGATACATGACTGACAAAGCAGATTTTTTTTTCCGCAGTAGGTTGCCATTTCTTTCTGCAGTAGACCAGTTGCCATCCAGGGATATAGAACCCTGTCTGTTCTGCTATTTACCCATAGTTGGTGGGAAAAGATGAAGATTCATACCTTTCCCAAGGGTCTTAGCACGTAAGTGAATGTAATGGATTCAACTGGAATTCGAACTCGACTCTTCGATTCCTCAATGTTTTTTAAATCTAACAAATATTATAAATTATAAGATTATGACATACCATATAAGACTTAAATGACTACCAAAATATTTAAATCTACTGAACTGCTTTAATTATGACAATTTCACTAATACCATTTTACAGCAAACCAAATTTCTCAAACAAAAAGTGTTTAGTGAACTAGTATAGAAGAAAGGTACTCAGTCCATGCAATATGGGGTGTCAATACTAGTTTTTAATATTTCCCACATTATTTTCTTTTTTAATATACAAAAAATTTAAAGATATATCTTAAAGAGATAATTTTTGTTGTATAAAAAAACAAAGGACAAAAATTTGGGGTGTCATTATTGGGAATAGGTCACCCTTTCACAAATATAAATGCCAACCAAACAAAACTCTTTCCATGACAATGAATCCAATACACTATTTCCATAAGTAAACTGTCATGTAATGAAAATTCTTATTTAATAACTAATGATTTTAAATTTATCATAACAAAAATAAAATGAAAGTGATATCTGAACAGTAAGATACAAATAGGCATAAATCAACTGTGAAAGTTAAACGAAAAACTGTCATCAACTGAGAACGTTGTGAAAGCTGTAAAACAAAGTAATAAAAGTGAAAGGGAAGCAATACTTCTTGTAACAATCAGAACAGCGTTAATATTAAGTACATGCAAATATGTCTTGACAACCAAGATGACTGCCAACATAGTGGTGTGAAGTGAGGTGAAATAAATTTTTTGTACATCTGGAGAAGGTTGTAGAATAAATCAGCCAAAAAATTGTGGTTACAATGAAAGCAACACCTCTAAATAAAATAATGAATTCATCAGTCTGAAAAACTTTTGGAATTTTAATGGCTAATCTTGGGACTGATGATGATGATCTGTAGAATGTAATGTCTCCAATCTCAGCATTTCTAGACATCCTTTGAAAAGACAGTGGTTACAGATCTCTCGATGCACCACAAGAGCCTGTAACCTAAGTGCCGTCACACCTCAACTATCTCATTTAGAA